CCTCCCATCTCAGCCTCCCAAGTCACTAGGATTACAGGCATGCGCCAACATGCCTGGCTAATTTTTTTGTATTTTTAATAAAGACAGGGTTTTGCCATGTTGGCCAAGCTAGTCTTGAACTCCTGAACTCAAGTGATCTGCATACCTCCACTTCCCAAAGTGCTGGGATTACAGGCGTGAGCCACCATGCCCGGCCAAGAATGCAAAATATTCTTGATTTGATTCAATGGACCCTGCCCTCCCAGAGCTCATCTCACAGCTCATACTAATTAACAAACCTACTTACTGAACACCTCCGATAGATCAGGCCTTTACCAGGCAAATGGGCAGGCACAAGGCAGTGTGCTTGAAGGTGCTCATAGCCTGGTAGGAAATGAACAGGGCAAGGGCAGTCACATGGGACTTGCTGCAAATAAGGTGCAGCAGTTGCTCTGGGAACACTGGAGGTAGCGCAGAGGGGAAGGTACGGAACGGAAAAAGCTGTCCCTGAGATGAGATGGTGATTGTGCTGGGGGGTTCAGGTCTGCGTTTGTTGGGTGCAGAGGGGCAGGGAAAGCTGCTCCCAGCAGTGTGGACAGAAATTACTGGAGTTCAACATAAAGGCTGTGTGGGGTTGCATGAATACTCGTAAATAAATAAACAATAAATGATCACCTTGGCAGCACCCACAGGGCCTCAGGGACTGCTGGCGGGTGGCGTGAGCCTGGTCTGAGTCTATTAAGAACATCCTTGTTGGATGGTTAATGAATGAGCAGACTTTAGGGGGATCAGAAAGTTATCATAGGTGAGATGCAGCTTTAAATATAGAGCTATGAACATTGAATTCCAAAGCATTCTTGTTGCCAGTGGAGAGTGCCCAAGTTCTTGGCATTTTTAACAAAAAATTGGAGAAAAGGCACAAAGCAAGGAAAGAATGAAGCAACAAAAGCAGAGCTTTATTGAAAGCGAAAGTACATTCCACAGGGTGGGAGCAGGCAGAGTACAGGGACTCAAGAGCCCTGTTACAGAATTTTCTGCGCTTAAATACCCTCTAGAGGTTTCCCATTGGTTACTTGGTGTGCATCCTATGTAAATGAGGTAGTAGCCTGCAATCAGAGGCTAAAGTGAAGTTACAAAGTTACACTTCTATGCAAATCAAAACTTGGCTCACGATCAGTCTGATTGGTTGGGGAAAGCAACCAATCAGAGGCTGAAGTGAAGTTACAAAGTTACATTCCTATGCAAATGTCTGATTGGTTGCAGAAAGCAACCAATCAGAGATACATTCGATTTTCCATCTGCTACACAGAGAATGGGGAGGAGGTTGCAAAGGGAGTAGCCTCGGGTCCTTTTATTACATAGGTGTGGAAAGTTGGGGTTTTCCTTTTGATTTAATTCTAGGAAGTCAGTGTGAATCGGCCTTAGGTTCTTAGGTTCTCTGCCTCCAGACCCTATTCTCCCGCCTCATTCCGAGAGAAAGGCATCATAGTTTTGCAGTATCCTACGCTGCTGCAGAGCTGGACTTGCTGCCTTTGGCAGGAACTGCAGCCTCTGCTGAGCTGATTTCTCCTGAGCGAGGGGTCCTCAGCATCCTGGTTGAATGTTTTGTGCATAATCTCCCCCGAGATCTCACCCGAGCTTGAGATTCTGCAAGACAAACTGCCTTAAGGCTACTACTGCCACTCCCTGGACTCCTTCCTGTTCATGCTTTTGACACAAGGCCCCCTCGCCCCACCTTTGGCGTAGAAGTTACGCCAGCATCGCTCACACTGGGTACATCCTGGGTGCATCCTTCCATGCTGATTAGGCGGGCTGCTGTGTAAACTGCCTTTCACATTTCAGCCTCACTGAAGACAGCCTCTGAGGGTGACTCACCTCATCTGACTTTACTTTCTGCAGCCAAAGAACATGGTCATCCCACATAGGGGGTTGACAAGGTCTTCTCAAGCAATTCTTTCCCATCGCGCAACCCAATTAAGAAGATAAAAAATTCTCACACTCAAGGAACTGCAGGGTTCTTAGGTCACACAAATGTGGGCTAGGGGAAGAGGTTAGTCTTTTTTGCCAATTGTTAAAATCATCAGTCCCCTAGATTTGAAAAGATACATCTTCTGGAAGAAGTCTGCTTTTTAGCTTCATCATCTAGGAAAGAAATTTGTCCATTTAGGATAAACATCAGCTCTCCTAAATGCTTTGGTGAGGACAGAAACGTATTGTAAATTTTCAAATAAAATCAGGAGGCTATAGCTGAATTAGAAATTCCATTTGTTTTGCTACTCCAGTGACAGTCTACTTATTCTTGTATAAATAAATAGAAGACTGGGGACCCTGAACTAGTCACCTTTCCTCTAATTTCCACTCAATGAGCATCTTGGCAGAACACTAGTACCAATATGATCCCTGCACATGCCAGTGAGGTAATAAAGACAGAAGAGGTTTCAATATGTCAGCCAGTTATTACTTGTCATTTTTAAAAGTTACTTTCAGCTGGGCGTGGTAGCTCACATCTGTAATCCGAGCACTTTGGGAGGCTGAGGCAGGTAGATCTCTTGAGGTCAGGAGTTCAAGACCAGTCTAGCCAACATGGTGAAACCCTGTCTCTACTAATAAAACAAAAATTAGCCGGCTGTGGCGGCAGGCACCTGTAATCCCTGCTACTAGGAGGCTGAGGCAGGAGAATTGCTTGAATCTGTAAGGAGGAGGTTGCAGTGAGTCAAGATCACGCCGTTGCACTCCAGCCTGGGCAACAGAGCCAGACATCATATCGGAAAAAAAGTTACCTTCCTCTAATATTGTTAACATGCAAATGCATTGTTAGTAGATAACATCATGGGTCGATATTAATACTCCTTAGTATACTGCTTTCCTGTGACGTCCCTAAACTCTTAATTCCTCATTGCAAGTATTTCAAAAGCAAACAACAACAAAAAACCAAAGTACTAAGTTAAAAAGGAACCTTTCAGATCTTTCAGGAACTTTTAGAAGAACCTTTTGATCATTTTGGGAAGAGTTCAGTATAAACACATAAGTCATGCATAAGAATATTTGAGTCAGGCACAATAGCTCACGCCTGTAATCCCAGCATTTTGGGAGGCTGAGGCGGCAGATCACCTGGGGTCAGGAGTTCGAGACCACCCTACCAACATGGAGAAATTCCGTCTCTACTAAAAATACAAAATTAATCGGGCATGGTGGTGCATGCCTGTAATCCCAGTTACTCCGGGGAGGCTGAGGCAAGAGAATCGCTTGAACCCGGAAGGCGGAGGTTGCGGTGAGCTAAGATCATGACATTGCACTCCAGCCTCGGCAACAAGAGCGAAACTCCTCTCTCTCTCTCACACACACACACACACACTCACACACACACACACACACACACAAATAGCTAGGTGTGGTGGCAGGTGCCTGTGGTCCCAGTTACTTGGGAGGCTGAAGTGGCAGGATTACTTGAGCCCAGGAGTTCAAGGCTGCTGTGAGCTGAGATCACGGCATTGCACTCCAGCCTGGGTGACAGAGTGAGAGCCTGTCTCAAAACAAACTAACTAACTAAATGTTCCACCACAAGCTTATCCTTATTGGACTTTTACCACATGTCAGACATTGTTTTAAATGCTTTATATATATAACTCATTTAATGTATCTCTCCTCCATTTTTAGATAAAGAAACTGAGGCAGGGAGAGGGTAACTATGTCACAGGCTAAGTAGAAGTGAGGCACAAATTTGAACCCAGATGGCCTTGGAGTATGTATTATAACTTTACCCAGGATAGCGTCTTGCCTGACTGAAATGGTTAAAGAAGTAAGCCACGTTCTATGAAACTTTGTGCGTGTAAAAGATTACATTTTAGAGGCCAGGCGTGGTGGCTCATGCCTGAAATCCCAGCACTTTGGGTGCTCAAGGCGGGTGGATCACTTGAGGTCAGGAGTTGAAGACCAGTCTGGCCAACACAGTGAAACCCCAACTCCACTAAAAATGGAGAAAAATAGCCAGGAGTGGCGGCGCACGCCTGTAATCCCAGCTATTCGGGAGGCTGACATATGAGAATCGCTTGAACTCGGGAGGCGGAGGTTGCGGTGGGCTGAGATTACACCACTGTACTCCAGCCTGGGTGACAGAGTGAGACTCCATCTCAAAAAAAAAAAAAAAAAAAAAAAACCGCGAAAATTAGCCGGGCGTGGTGTCATGCACCTGTAATCCCAGCTACTGTGGAGGCTGAGACACGAGAATCGCTTGCACTTGGGAGGTGGAGGTTGCAGTGAGCAGAGATAGCACCAATTGCAACTCAGCCTGGGCAACAGAGTGAGACTGTGTCTCAAAAAAGAAAAAAAAATTACATTTGAGAATATTTAATAATGAGAAAATGCTCATATTACTGTGTTAAGTGTAGGAATAAAACTGTATATACACAATAACATCATAGGTATGTGTGTAGATATATGCCACACACATACACACACGGAAAAAACATACTAGAACATACTAGGAATTACCCTAGCATGTTAGCAGTGGTTATCACCTGGGTGAAGGAATTATGATTGGATTATTATCAGTAATTATTAGTTTATATTTGTTGTCTTTTCCAAAGTTTTCCACCCTTAAACATGTTTTTCCACCATAAAAAGGGAACAGCATTTTTAAATCGCGAGTACCTCGCAGATCTCCTTCTGCTCAGTATGAACACTAAGAGAGGTCCTGGAGGTCCCAACGAGCGAAGGGGAGGAGCGGGGGATGAGACCCGGTGATCTCGACTCCCTTTCGGAGACGTGGAGAGAGGAGGCCCGCTTCGTGCTCTCCGTGCTCGTGCCTTGCCTGCTTTTCCGCTCACGCGTCGCGCACCCGGCCCTGGGGTCCAGAACGGTTGCCTGGAGCCCCGGGCTAGCTGCAGCAGGCACAGGTCTGGGGAAGGAGTGGGCGTGTCCCTGGGTCTCCGCCGACCGTCCCGGGGCGCCACGCCACCGCGAGACCCACTTGAGCACTTCCCTAGGGCGCCCCTTCCGCGTGGCCTCCCCAAGCCGGGTACCTGCAGGGCCATGGTGGCGGCGGCGCGCCGTTGCTGGCAGCTGTTATCCGGTACTCTGCCCCCTAGGGCGCAGCAGCTCTTTAAAGGGCGCGTCTCCGCCAGCGCTGCCATGGCCCGTCCCGGCCCGGCCGCCCTCCCATTGGTCGCGGGCGCGGGGGCGAGGCTGGGCTGTGAGCTCCTTAGCGCGCGCGGGTTGCCCGGGCTGGCAAATGGAAAGACAGAGAAGAGAATTTAAATGAGTTTTCCCCGCTCTGGGCTTCTCTTCTATTCTTTCCTCAAGAGGGTCTTTGCAGGGAAACCCAGGAGAGGTCCCCCCCAGGCACAGCCTCCCTGGAATGCCTCTTAAAAAAGAAAGAAAGAAAGAAAAGAAGAAGAGAGGAAGAAAAATATACATATTATCTAGAGAGACCCTCCCAACTCTAAAGTAATATATGTAATGTCTTTAAAAAAGCAAAGTTCTTTTTAAAAATGTGCTAATATATGTTAAGTATGTATTGACCGGGTGGAGGTGGTCACGCCTGTTGAGGCAACTACTTTTGGGTAGGCTGAGGGGGCAAATCACCTGAGGTCGGGAGTTCGTAGACTGTCCTCTTAAACCAAACAATGGGAAACGTGTGTGTCCACTTAAGAAATCCATAAATTAGCAAGGTGTTTTTGTGGCGCGATACCTGTAAATCGCAGCTACTCGGCGAGGCGCTGGAAGGAGAATCTCTTAACTGGAATGGTGGAGGTTGCTGTGAGACCAGATTGTGCCATTGCACACTCCAGCACTGGGGCAACAGGAGTGCTGAAAGCTCTATGCTCAAAAAAAAATAAAAAATAAAAATAAGATAGCAAGTGATATATGCATTTAAAATTTTATACAGAGGTGAGGGGTCTTGCTAGGTATATATATTATATTTTTTCTCTAAAAATTTATATATATACATCTATATTTAAAATTTTAAAAATCAAAAGTTTTATACATTAAAAGTACAAATTATATATATATATATATATATATATATATATTTTTTTAAAGAGAGGTGAGGTTGCCCAGGCTGGTCTTGAACTCCTGACCTCAAGCAATCCTCCCACCTTGGCCTCCCGAAGCACAGAATTCCTTCTTTATACATACTTCTCTCCTGTCCATTATTCCTAGAAACGTGGATGATGAATGTGTCTCCTCCACTCTGCCTCTAGGCGCAGTTTATCATGAGTGAAAGTGGCCTGTGGTTTGCACCTCTTCTCCTCTTTATAAAGCAAAAACACCTAAATTCTGGACACATGCTACAATCAGCCTAACTCGTTTTTAATTATGGTAAAGGCACAGGACTAAAAGCCTATTCAATTTGACCCAGTTTTCCAGGGAAACAAACCCAGTGTCACTGCAAGTCTGCAGACACGCCGAATAGGATTACATTTCCAAAGGACTGGAACCGAATTGGCTGGTCATATGAGGAGCTAATTTCCGACGCTTCGCATTGATGGAGAAGGGTGACTGGGAGAAAAAAGAAACTCAATACGTCAAAGTGACTGAGCTTGAGCGTACGACAATGCAACAAGCAACCTTTCAGCTTGTTTTTGCATAAAGCTACATTTAAAAAATATTTGCTTTTTCATGAAAATCTTTTTTTTCTCCTCACAAATATTTTCGTGGTGAAATCAGTGCATTTCCAAGTAAAGGACCAAAAGCAAAATGTTAGAAAAACCTACTGGGCAGTTGTTTGTGTTTGAAGTCCTAGACGATGGGAAAGGTCCCGTGGGGTACTAAGGCTCACGGCAGCTTCAGCAGAGCCTGGCCTTCCTCTGGTAACCTAGTCCTGGCTGCCGGCAGCACCCGGTCCGTGGTGTTTCAGCGGGAAATACTGCACTGAGTGCGGGTATCAGTCCATATCTTCAGCTGAGACATTCTGGAATTATCGTCGCTGTAAGAAACCAGAAGAGGGGAGGGACGGACGCTACATTGTTTTCTGCTTTATTCTCTAAATCCAGAATGTTCTTTTAAGACCTCTTTTGAAAGTATTTTCTTCTCCTGGGTTGCCATTCCCCATCTCATTGCCAGGTCATGTGGGTCTTGTCTCAAGACGCAAGACAGGGCCAGGCACGGTGGCTCATGTCTGTAACCCCAGCACTTTGGGAGGCCGAGGTGGACAGATGATTTGAGGTCAGGAGTTCGAGACCAGTCTGGCCAACATGGCAAAAACTTTTCTTCTAAAAATCTCTTCTAAAAATACAAAAATTAGCTGGGCATGCTGGCAGGCACCTGTAATCCCAGCTATTTGAGAGGCTGAGGCAAGGAGAATTGCTTGAACCTGGGAGCCAGAGGTTGCAGTGAGCCAAGATCATGCCACTGCTCTCCAGCCTGGGCAACGGAGTGAGACTCTTGTCTCAAAAATAAATCAAAAATAAATAAATAAATAAATAAATAAATAAATAAAATAAAATAAAATAAAATAAAAACCATAGCATGAGTTTCAGAATAGGTTTTTATTTTTCTATTTAAAAAAAACATCCATTGGGATTCTGATAGGGATTGCATTGAATCTTTAATACCGTCAAGATGAACATTTCTTAACCATGGCAGTGCATTCAATTACCTGGAAAAAAGACACAAACCCCAATCTGATCCCTATTTCCCACCACCATTTTGATGTAATGGCTGTAGGGTTGGACCCAAGCCTCACGAATGATGCATCCATGGTTTTGCTCTCTTCTCTGCAATGACAATTTAGCTCTCCTTCTCTGAATAATACATGTGGTCCTCCAGGATGGACCAGGTCCTGCTGACCTCTTCAACCACATCTCTCGCTCTTTCCCACAGGCATGGATGCTCCACCCTGAGTAACTGAAGGACTTCAACTTCCCTTTCTCCAGGTTGTTGGATAGTTGCCGCTCCACTGTCTGGAACACTCTTTTTCTTCTTTTATTTTCTTTTCCCTCCCTCCCTCTCTCTTTTTCTCTTTCTTTCTTTCTTTTCCTTCCTTCCTTCCCCTTCCTTCCTTCCCTCCCTCCTTTCTTTTTTCTTTTCTTTTCCTTCCTTCCTTCCTTTCTCTCTCTCTCTCTCTTTCCCTTCCTTTCCTTTCTTTTTTTCTTTCTTCTCTCTCTCTCTCGTTTGTTTTTGAGACGGAGTCTCAATCTATCACCCAGGCTGGAGTTCAGTGGCAAGATCTCGGCTCACTGCAACCTCCACCTCCTGGATCCAAGTGATTCTCCTGCCTCAGCCTCCCTAGTAACTGGGAGTACAGGCGTATGCCACCGTGCCCGGCTAATTTTTGTATTTTCAGTAGAGATGGGGTTTCGCCATGTTGGCCAGGCTGGTTTCGAACTCCTGACCTCAAGTGATCCACCTGCCTTGGCCTCCCAAAGTGTTGGAACTACAGGCGTGAGCCACCACACCTGGCTCTTTTCCCACTTTCTTAACTAAGCCAACTCTTAAGATTCAGTCAACATGGCAACACCTCCAGGAAGACTTTGAGACAAGAAATAGCTTTAGTCTGGTCTTCTGGCCTATAAGCCTCTGGCCATCTCTCTCCGTCTTTCTTCTGTTCTCATTCTTACCTGCCTTCAAAGGGTTTCCACTCCACTTGGCCTCCCGGCTGTTCAAACAGGCCTATCGCACTCCTGCTTTCGCGTCTCTACCTCAGAATTATCTTCCCATGGTCGGCCTGGCTCAGTGTTTCCACTCCTCTAGGTCTTTGCTCATCTGTCATCTCTCAGGAGGCCTTTTATCACCCATCCTAGCACCCCCTTCCACTCTTCCTTGCTTTTTCGTCTTTCTTTCTCTCTCTTTCTTTCTTTCTTTCTTTTCTTTTTTTTCTCTCTCTCTCTCTTTCTCTCTCTCTCTCTTTCTTTCTCTCTCTCTTTCTCTCTTTCTTTCTTTCTTAGACAGAGTCTCACTCTATTGCCCAGGCTGGGGTACAGTGGCATGATCTCGATTCACGCAAACTCCACCTCCCAGGTTCAAGTGATTCTCCTACCTCAGCCTTCCGAGTAGCTGGAATTACAGCTGTGCGCCACCATATCCAGCTAATTTTTGTATTTTTAGTAGAGACGAGGTTTCACCATGTTGGCCAGGCTGGTCTCGAACTCCTTACCTCAAGTGATCCCCCCGCCTCAGCTTCCCAAACTGCTGGGATTACAGGCGTGAGCCACCGCGCCTGGCCTTCCCTGCTTTTTTTCTGTAGCACTTTGAATCATCTGACAACTTATATCATTTACGTTCTTTGTTTACCCTTTCTCCTCCTTTAGAACTCTGGCTCACCGCTTTATCCTCAACACTAGCAATTCAATGAATATCGTACCTATGGGAAAAGAAGAGGGGTGGGGAAGAAAGGGAGGAAGGGGATAGAAAGGAAGGATTAAAAGTCTTTCAAATTTCCCTATTTTCATAAGACAGCACTGCCAAGACCCCTGATAACCTTGGACATCCCCACATAGCCACGTAGCCAAGGCCTGACTGCAGTCTACCCTGAGTCCTGGACAAATGCCTGGATTTCCCTGGCAGCAAGGTTTCCTTTTTTTTTTTTGATTGAGTGAGGAGACTTTATTGATGGCACACGACAAGGTGGGGCTCCCTAGGTGTCTCCCTCTTCACGCGGTCTGCGTGGAAACTGTGAGGAGGGGAGATTCTCCATGTGGTGGGGCCTGAGTGGCGCAGGGACTCTCCAGCAGTGAGGGCCTCTCTCTTCCTCTCGTGCTCTCACTGGGTCTGGTGGTCCAGGGGTCTTACTCCTTGGAGGCCATGTGAGCTCTACCACCCTGTTGCTGTAGCCAAACTCATCGTCCTATCAGGAAATGTGTTTGACAAAGTGGTCATCGAGGGCAATGCCAGCTCCAGCATCGAAGGTGAAAGAGTGGGTGTTGCTGTTGAAGTTGGAGGAGACGACCTGGTGCTCGGTGTAGCCCCGGATGCCCTTGAGGGGCCCTCCAAAGCCTGCTTCACCACCTTCCTGATGTCATCCTATTTGGCAGATTTTTCCAGATGGCAGGTCAGGTCCATGACTGACACGCTGGCAGTAGGGACACAGAAGGCCATGCCAGGGAGCTTCCGGTTCAGCTCAAGGATGACCTTGCCCACAGGGCTTACCTATCTTATAGAAGAGTCTCACAAGGGTGTTTCTCATCTATGTCTCTAGTTTAGTTGAGACTAGGGCTTTCCATCTTCTCCTTTCTCTGCACCCCCTACAAGTTGCTTCACTTTAGGACAGAGCCACAGGTTTCTGTGTAAGTCTGGAACTGCTTGCTGAAGTTTACAGTTTGTTCCTTGACAGAGTGACCTACCACTCATAACACCTGTCATCCGACCTCTGAGACTGGCAATGCTGTCCCATGGGATTAGAGATGCAGGGAGCTGACATCATGTTGGTCTTGATTTTGCTGTTTTGTGAGGCCTGAGAATTGCTTAACTGCTTGAAACTCCTCACCTTCACCTTGTCTCTGTGGACACAGATATTCCTTGGAGTACTATACAGTCCCAATTAATAGAGCTTTCAATACTCATTTTGCAGCTCATCATTAAAATTCATGCTTAGTAACTGATGTAAAATAACGAATTGTTTACCTAACAACTATTGTTATACATGATACAACATACACACACACACACAGAGAAAGAGAGAGAGAGAGAGAGAGAGAGCGCGCGAGCTAAGGTCAGAATACCATGGAGGAAAAGAAGAATAGAAGAATCTGGTGGTCAATTCCCTTACATTCTTCTGTTGACAAATTTTCTTGTTGGGACCTTCACTTATTTCATCAAAAGATGGTGGCTAATTATATAATTTATTACTCAGAAGCTTTTTATGTATTTATTTGTTTTGGAGACAGGGTCTCACCATGTTGCCCAGGCTGGAGTGCAGTGATGTGATCATAGCTCACGGTAGCCTCCACTTTCTATGCTCAAGCAATCCTCCAGCCTCAGCCCCAGGAGTAGCTGGGACTACAGGCACACACCATGCCTAGCTTTTTTTTTTTTTTTTTTTTTTTGTAGATATGGGGTTTCGTCATGTTGCCTAGGTTGGTCTTGAACTCCTGGGCTCAAGCAATCCTCCTGCCTCAGCCTCCCAAAATGCTGGGATTACAGGTGTGAGCCACCACAGCCGGCCATCACTCAGAATCTTAAGTCATTGTCAAACAATGGAAAGCATACAAATCAAACAGTAGTCCAATTCTAGAATATAAAAAGAAAGCTCTAATATTCAAAGACCAAACAGATTTTACAGGACTGTCATTACTGTCATTAAAAAGTAAAACTGGCCAGTTGTGGTGGTGCGTATCTGTAATACCAGCACTCTGGGAGGCCGAGGTGGGAGCATTACTTGAGCCCAGGATTTTAAGACCAGCCTGGGCAACATAGTGAGACCCCATCTCTACAAAAAGTACAAAAATTAGTCAGGCTTCGTGGCATGCTCCTGTAGTCCCAGCTACTCGGGAGGCTGAGGTGGGAGGATCACTTGTGCTTGGGAGGAGGTTGCGGTGAGCTGAGATGGTACCATTTAGCCTGGGCAACAGAGCAAGATCCTGTCTCAAAAATAAACAAAACAAAACTGATTCTTCAGATTAGGATATCAAATATGTAAAGTAATAATTTGAGAAACATGAAAAAGTGTTATGTGTGAAGAAAATCAGAAGATTGAATCTGTGTTATTTTAATGTAAAAGCATGCACATATGTGAAACAAAGTAGAAGGGAACACTAAAGAAAAAATGGGTGTGATTGGGTCATGGGAGCATGTTTGTTATTTTTTGGTTGTAATGTTTGTGTGATACAAGAGGGAGAGAAATTACTTTCGAAATGTACTTGTTAATTTTAGCAAAATCCTTGTGGAAATTAAACTGCTAGTTTTAAAATAAAACACAAGCACTAAAATAATAGAGGTTATGTTTCATTTTTATTAACTTAGTTTTGCCATGGTTGAGACTGGATTCACCACAGTTCAATTTATCAAGCACTTAACTATGTGTTCTGCACATAATAATCATCTTAGCACAGAGGATCATCTCTTCTAATCCTCACAAGAGATACTATTTTTATCACTTCATAGAGGAGGTTAATAAACTTGACTAGGTCATAAGATCTTCAGTTGAAGTTAGGATTTCAACCCAGAGCCAAGTAATGTAATGGCTGATGTTTTCCATAGAGAAAATGTAAGCTGAGATGATGCTCAAACTATAAATCTGGAACCTTAGGGGGACAAAAACGTATGGATGTCTCCTTCCTATTACTTTAGCATTTTAATTAGACCCGTGTGTCTCTATTTGTTTTTGGACATGCAAGCTGCTTGCAGTTCATCATAGCGAACTCACACAATTCATTTGATGAAACACAAACCTGTTCTTACAAACTCACTGTCATCTCTTTTTAATCTTACTAATTCCGATAAAAATCACATTGCACTTTACCCTGTGTAACCTCCAATGATCTCTGACGGAAAGCCAAATCTTCTTTGTGTGTTTGCTTTATGGACAGTTAGGTTCTACACACGTACTTAAACATGAAAATTGAAATCATAGAGGCTGAGCACCGTGGTTCAAGCCTGTAATCCCAGCACTTTGGAAGGCTGAGGCAGGCGGATCACCTGAGGTCAGGAGTTCGAGACCAGCCTGACTAACATGGTGAAACACTGTCTCTACTAAAAATACAAAAATTAGCTGGGCTGGTGGCCCGTGCCTGTAATCCCAGCTACTCAGGAGGCTGAGGCAGGAGAATCGCTTGAACCCGTGAGGCGGTGGTTGGAGTGAGCCAGGATCACGCTATTGCACTCCAGCCTGGGACACGAGGGCGAAACTCTGTCTCAAAAAAAAAATAATAATAAATAAAGGACAGAAACTATACCAGAAAATAGGAAACAAAACGAACAGTGAAGAGAGTGAGAAAAGGAGGCAGATATGTAGAAGAGGAAAAGGAAGGGGGCCCAAGTGAGGCCGGAAAAACCGGGGAGGAGGAGGGGGCTCATTAGGTCAGAAGCAACCTGCCGTCTTCTAAGTTCTGGCCAAGGGTAGATCAACGGATCCAGATTCCTGAGTTTTAAAATGTTATTAGGCTGCTTCATCACTTGTCCCTGACGTTGCAGCGACTCCGATGGTAACTTTAGTCTCCATTGCTTGGAGCAGCCACAGTGTACACCGGACAGGATATTCCGCGCAGCTGTTGCTGAACTCAAGGCAACTCCTATAGCCTTTCTCTTTTTGGGACTCAAGATTCCTTGCATTATTGCCCATAGGCATGTTTTATCCCACACTCCTTCTCCCTTTTATCTTGATTTTCGTAGTGCTGGGGAGTCTGCAGGGATTCCATGGCGACGGGTTCACTGGGACAGGGGCTGGGGTTGTGCGTCCCTGAGGCAAAGCAAATACAGAAACGCGAATAGAGATAGAGGGCTAAGACTCCCAGGCACTGAAAGGTAGAAACTGGGTTATAAGAGAGAGGGGAGCACAGACGCCCGGAGAGAGCCTGCCCTCGGGATACCACTGGCGGTAGGCTGGCCTCCGAACAACTAGAAGGTCCAAGCCCTGAGCGTCTGGTTACCCGGGCAACTTTATGGCCTCGCGATACAGACCTCGCGCCTGCGCACTGCCGCTGTAGGGGGCCCGGTCCGGAGCCTCCACCCCGGGGCCTAAACTCGAATCTAAAAGATGGGGCCTCGTTGTGTTGTTTCCGGGCCGCGCGACGCTGTGGGCTGCTTTCCCCTTTCCGGAGTGACCTAACACAGGATAACGAAACCTGCAGTGCTCCTAGCGCTTCCGCTCCGCCCCATCGCGTCTGGGAGGCGAAGCCGCGAGGCGAGCGCTCTGCGCATGCGCGGCGCAGGCGCACTTGGAGCCGGTGCTGTAACCCTCAGGTGAAGGCGGATCCGCCATCGTGAGTTCCAGGTGGGCGCGCGGGGCCCACGTAGGGCAGGAGGCCAGCCCCGGGGGGATCGGGCCCGGGACTCCACGGAATCTGGAGGCCGAAGCCCGCGCGCACGCAAGGCCTCCGCTGCTTCCCCGACGCCTCTTGCGTGGCCGCGGAACCCGCCGCCCTCTCGGTTGGGCTACCCAGTGCCGGGCCAGGCGTGTGCACCCAGAGCTTCCGCGCCTCTCCTCGGGCTCCTCTGCTGGATTGCAGCGCCGGCTGGGCACCAGGAGTGCAAAGCGAAAACCGCACGCCGGCCGTTCTGTTCTCCACGGTCTCCAAGGAGACACGGACCGATCCAGGGGCGGCGTGCAGTGGGGAGGTGAGCTTTGGGTCGGCCGTCGCCCCTCGGCTACCGGCGGGATCCAGAAACCGGAAGTCACCACCGATACCCTTCTCACCTTTACTCCCAGCTGGTCACTACTGTGTCGGGAGATTCTACCTTCTTTTCCGACTAACATGTATTTCTCTCCAGTCCTTTCTGCGGTGTCTCTAGTGTAGGCCACCGCCATTTCTAACCTGGACGACTCCGGGGGCGTGTTTGCTGCTCAAGGATTCTTCCTTTGCCCAGATCCGCAAAGATCTGTAACGTCTTTCTTATCATGACGCCCCTGCTTTAGACGTTAAAGTTGCTTCACACTGGAAGGCTTGCAAAGGTCTTCATTTTCTGGTCCTTACCCACCTTTCCTAGTTTCTCACTGCTTTCTCTAGCATCTCTGCCCCAGCCACATTGAACTTATTGGAACTTGCTTTTTTTTTTTTTTGGAGACATAGCAGTCGCCCAGGCTGGAGTGCAGTGGCGCGATCTTGGCCCACTGCAACCTCCTCTTGCCGGGTTCAAGCGATTCTTCTGCCTCAGCCTCCCGAGTAGCTGGGACTACAGGCGCGCGCCACAACGCCCGGCTGATTTTCGTATTTTTAGTAGAGACGGGTTACCATGTTGGTCAGGCTGGTCTCGATCTCCTGGCCTTAAGTGATCCGCCCGCCTGGGCCTCCCAAAGTGCTGGGATTACAGGCGTGAGCCACCTTGCCAGCCAACTTCTTTCTTTTAATGCTGAGATACCTTTCTTTACTCCATACTCCCTTTGGTTGGCATTGTTTAGATGTAGGTTAAGAGGTCCGGCCGGGCGCCTCTTAGTCCCAGACTAAGTGCTCACGCCTGTAGTCCCAGCACTGTGGGGGGCCGAGGTGGTTGGATCACAAGGTCAGGAGATCGAGACCATCCTAGCCAACATGATGAAACCCCATCTCCACTAAAAATAAGAAAATTAGCCGGACATGGTGACGCGCGCCTGTACTGTAGTCCCAGCTACTCGGGAGGCTGAGGCAGGAGAATCGCTTGAACCCGGGAGGCAGGCGGAGGATGCAGTAAGCGGATATTGTGCCACTGCACTTCAGCCTGGCGACAGAATGAGACTCCGTCTCAAAAGGGGGGGGAAAAAAAAAGCAGTTCCTCTATGAGGACTGCCTTTTCCTACCCCCTCAACTAAGCTAGGCCTCTGCTGGATATTCCCTAAGCATCCTGTAGTTCCCTGACCTTCATGTGCATCAGGCTTTATTGTATAATTACCTGCTGATATTTTTTCCTTGTGGACTGTAAGCTCACTGAGGTCTGCGACAAAAAAATACTTAATCTTTATGGCCTGGCACATCCTGGATAATCCAGAAAGGTGGTGCCTGCGGCTGAGGGTGGGAGTGGTATTCCAGGCAGAGGGACTAATGTATATAGACTTGAAGGTGGGAAAATGCTGGCCTCATTAAATAGTATGTGGTTCGGTGTTGAGGTCTTGTGCTTGGTGGGGCCTAAGGAGAAAGAGGCTGGTGGGAGATTGAGACTGGAGATTGGAGGGCCTTTTATGTCACATTAGAGTTTGGGTGGGGCATGATAGCTCATGCCTGCAGCCCAGCACTTTGGGAGGCTGAGGCTGGGGGATTGTCTGAGCCTAGGAGTTGAAAACCAGCCTGGGCAACAAAGCAAGACCCTGTCTCTACGGTGTTGTTTTTTTTTTGTTCTTTTTTTGAGACAGAATCTTACCCCGTTGCCCAGGCTGGAGTGCCGTGGTGCAATTTCGGCTCACTGCAGCCTCTGCCTCCTGGGTTCAAGCGATTCTCATACCTCAGCCACCCAAGTAGCTGGGATTACAGTTGCGCATCACCACACCTGGCTAATTTTTGTATTTTTAGTTTAGACCGGGTTTCACCGTATTTGCCAGGCTGGTCTCGAACGCCTGACCTCAAGTGATCCTTCCAGCTTGGCCTCTCAAAGTGCGGGGATTACAGGCGTGAGCCACCGTGCCCAGCCTATACAGAAAATTTAAAAATTAAAAAACTTTTCTGGGCTTGGTGGTGTGCACCTATAATCCCAGCTACTTAGCAGGAGGCTGAGGTGGGAGGATCGCTTGAATCCAAGAGTTCAAGGCTGCAGTGAGCCATGATCAAACAACTGCATTACAGCCAGGTGACAGGGCAAGACTGTCTAGTAAAAAGTGTTTGCCCTTGATCTATAGGCAGCAGAGGCCTCTTGAGACACAGCTCTAAAAGGACCTCAGCAAAGCCTTATTTTTCTCCCTTTCTCTAAAGCTATAAAATCTTACCAGTCAGTATTTTGTTTCTGGATTATATTGCATGAGATTATGCTTATCCAAACTACTTGGCTCTCTTTACCTCCCTAGCAGATTCTGCAGGCGGGAGAAGTTTATAGCCTGTTTTGCGATCCCTCCGGAGCATGGTTTTAAGTATTTACTCTGTGGTGTTTGGATGCGGAGACATGATCTGACTTGCAGTTGCCAAGACCTCTGTTCCATCCTATTTGTTTCACCCCTCTGTCACTTATTTCCCTCTTCCTGACCACTTTGAGCCTGATGCCAGCCCCTCGCAGTCACCGCATTGCATCTGGATGAGCCACTTTTCTTCCTGATTCCCTGAGCTCTGGGGAGCATAGAGATAATGGGGTCAGGGGGCAGTGTGGCCACTGTGAAGGAAGCAGCTTAGGCCCCAGAAGTCTCCAGCAGTGGGCAGTACCGAGACGACCAGGGTGTGATCTCTCACCCCAAGGAGCTGAATTTGGGTTTTCTGTGGGAAGGTGTCTGGGAAGAGTATCAGAGACCAATAGCGCTCAGGGGGCCCTTCCTCGGGGCTGTCCAGCGTGGAAGCACCCCGTCCTACACCAGTGGTTCCTGATTGCGGTTCTGAATCAGATTCACGGGGGCATTTATTTATTTATTTATTTTGATAAGGAGTCTTACTGTCGCCTAGGCTGGAGTGCAGTGGCACGATCTCAGCCCACTGCAACCTCTGCCTCCTGGGTTCAAGAAATTCTGCCTCAACCTCCCGAGTAGCTGGGATTACTGGCAGGCACCACCATGCCTGGCTAATTTTTTTGTATTTTTTAGTAGAGATGGGATTTCAACATATTGGCCAGGCTGGTCTCAAACTCCTGACCTTGTGATCGACCTGCCTCGGGCTCCCAAAATGCTTTGGTTACTGGCATGAGCCACTGCACCCGGCCTAGGGCAGCTTTTTATAAGCACAGATGCCCAGGTCTTATTCCTGAAGATTCCAATTCAGTAGATCTGGGTTGAGGACCAACCATCTGCCTGTTTTAAGAAGCCACAGGTTATTTTTGAGGTGTAGCAAGGATTGAAAGAACAGAAAACTTGGGATTTGGAAAACTAGTTGTGACTCCGGGCAGTGAGTCAGTTTCCTAATGCACACATTGGGGAATTCTATAGGAATGCTGTGAGAAGCAAATAATCCATGGAGAGAGTGCTTTATACAGCGATACACTACTGAGGCACACTTGCCTTCAACATCAGCTACCAGCCTAGTAAGTGGAAGTATAAATGGAAAGGACGTAACTTCCTTTAGTTTTGCCAGGTGGGTCCCTGTGATTCTAACTGAGCCCCAGGAAGAAAGGGAAGAAAACAGGGAAGAGAAAGGAATGTGTATTTGCCTCTGGGAAGGATAAACAGGATATGCCCTCTGGACCAGTAGTTTATAATATTTTCCCTATTAAGCATCCTTCTCATTTTTCCTCAATGGATTAATATCTTTAAATTTCATTACATTTCCCTAGTCTTCATGAAATTGCCAGCCAGAAAAGTTGGCTCAGGGCCCCCCTAAAAAGGAAGAATGGCCGGGAGTGGTGGCTCACACCTGTAATGCCAGCACTCTGGGAGGCTGAGGTGGGTAGATCTCCTGAGGTCAGGAGTTCGAGACCAGCCTGACCAACATAGTGAAACCCCGTCTCTACTAAAATTACAAAAAGTAGCCAGGCATGGTGTTGGGCGCCTGTAATCCCAGCTACTCTGGAGGCTGTGGCAGGAGAATCACTTGAACCTGAGAGGCAGAGGTTGCAATAAGCCGAGATCGTGCCATTGTACTACAGCCTGGGCAACGAAAGCGAAACTCTGTCTCAAAACACAAAAAAAGAAAGGGGAGTGTATGCCTGCATACATATCAAGTACTGTAGGAAGGATATTCAAGAAATTTAGGGCCCTGGGAGGTAGGGAGACTTACAAACATGGACATGACAGAATTATTTGAAGTCTTAATCATGAGATGACTGTTCAGTTCTTTTAAAATACCACACCTGATTGGTTTTGAATGGCAGAGGTCACCAGAGTCCTTGCAGATTGTGCGCTGTACGTGGGTGGACATTGTTTACCGTGAGCCCCAGGACCTAGAACGCCACTTGCACACTGGAGGTGCTCAGATCTTTTTTTTTGCAGATAGGGTCAGATGTGTTACTGGGCACCGCACGATCATGTTCACTGCAGCCTTGACCTCCTGGGCTCGAGTGATCCTCCCACCTCAGCCTCCCAAGTAGCTGGGACTACAGGTATGCCTCACACTTAGCTAATTTATGTATTTTTTTTTTTTTGTAGAGGGTTTCTCCATGTTGCTCAGAGTGGTCTCGAACTCATGGGCTGAAGTGATCTGTCCACCGCAGCCTCCCAAAATTCTGAGACTGAAGGCATGAGCCACTGTGCCAGGCCTAGAATATTTGTTGAATGAATGAATGGAAGCCCAACTAGACAGCATTTTGGAAAACAGTAACAAGTTATAAGATTAATACCATACAGTCACTAAAAGGTTAATTATGAACAAGTAGAAACAGCATATTTTTAATAAATGAAATAGACAAATGGAATTGTACTACGATTGCAATAATGAAAACTTTCACATATTGCTTGTATAGGAATAAAGACAAAGTCATATAAAAAAATGGGGAAAATTAAACCCTGGTCATCCATTGTCCTGAGTTTTTTTAAAGGGCCTCAGTAGAGCATTTAAAATCGGGTAAGAAATGGGGAAAAATAAAATTACTTAATCTTTAACAAGAAGACAAGTGTATGCTCACCTAATTGGACTTATATAATGAGGCTTGCTCTAGCTTATCAAGAATCAGAATACAGGCTGGGGCGCAGTGGCTCACGGCTGTAATCCCAGCACTTTGGGAGGCCGAGGCGGGTGGATCACCTGAGGTCAGGAGTTTGAGACCAGCTGGGCAACATGGTGAAACCCCGTCTCAACTAAAAAAATAGAAAAATTAGCTGGGCTTGGTGGCGGGTGCCTGTAATCCCAGATACTCGGGAGGCTGAGGCAGGAGAATCGCTTGAACCCAGGAGGTGGAGGTTGCAATGAGCCAAGATTGTGCCATTGCACTCCAGCCTGGGCAACAAAAGTGAAATTCTGTCTCAAAAAAAAAAAAAGAGAGAGAGTACAACCAAGATACTCTTAAGTTATGCAATTGTCACTAACATGAATTTTTTCTGTTGTCATTTTGCTTCTTGGAAGGATTTTAAAAATGGCTGCAGCTCCTCAAGCACCGGGGCGGGGATCTGTCCGTAAGACGAGACCTCTGGTTGTGAAGACGTCGTTGAACAACCCATACACCATCTGCTGGAGCCCTCTGGAGAGCGAGGATATGCACTTCATCCTACAGACGCTTGAGGACAGGCTTAAAGCTATTGGACTTCAGAAGATTGAAGATAGGAAGAAAAAGAACAAAACCCCTTTTCTGAAAAAAGAAAGCAGAGAGAAATGCAGCAATGCTGTTGATATTAGTGAGGATCTGAAGGAGAAAACAGACGCTAAGCAGCAAGTGTCAGGGTGGACGCCTGCACACATCAGGAAGCAGCTTGCCATTGGCGTTAACGAAGTTACCAGAGCCCTGGAAAGGAGTGAACTGCTGTTAGTTCTGGTGTGTAAATCAGTCAAACCTGCCATTATCACCTCACACCTGATTCAGTTAAGCCTCAGCAGAACCGTCCCTGCCTGTCAGGTCCCCCGGCTCAGTGAGAGAATCGCTCCCGTCATTGGCTTAAAATGTGTTCTAGCCTTGGGCTTCAAAAAGAACACCACTGACTTTGTGGACGAGGTAAGAGCCATCATCCCCAGAGTCCCCAGTTTAAGTGTACCATGGCTTCAAGACAGAACTGAAGATTCTGGGGAAAGTTTAGAGACTGAACCTCTGGAAAGCCAAGACAAAGAGCTTCTGGACACTTCATTTGAAGATCTGTCAAAACCTAAGAGAAAGCTTGCTGACGGTCAGCAGGCTTCTGTAACATTACAACCCCTTAAAATCAAGAAACTGATTCCAAACCCTAATAAGAAAAGGAAACCACCCAAAAGTAAAAAAGCTACTCCAAAGTAATCTTGCATAAACTTGCCATGTCATACTGTTTGTGAAAGCACACCTTGTGAAGAAGCCTTACAACTAATAAAATGAGTTATATTTACATAGATTCATACAGTCCTGTTTGGTAATTTCAAATGTGTAAGACACTTTGTAACTATGGCACAGATATTAAGTGCAGGAAATATTCAAAAATAGGAATACCCAAACAGAAGTTTATTGAAACTAGTGTTCATGCGTATTTAAATTGACTTCTTCCTTTTCTTTTTTTGAGACAGAGTTTCACTCTTGTCCAGGCTGGAGTGCAATGGTGTGGTCTCGGCTCACTGCAATCTCTGCCTCCCAGGTTTGGGCAATTCTCCTGCCTCAGCCTCCCGAATAGCTGGGACTACAGGTGTGCACTACCATGCCCAGCTAATTTTTGTATTTTTAGTAGTACCATGTTGGCCAGGATGGTTTCCATCTCTTGACCTCGTGATTTGCCCACCTCAGCCTCCCAAAGTGCTGGGATTACAGCTGTGAGTCACGGTGCCTGGCCTTTTTTTTTTTTTTATTAAACAGAGTCTTACTCTGTCACCCAGGCAGGAGTGCAGTGGCATAATCTCGGCTCACTGCAACCTCTGCCACCTGAGTTCAACGATTCTCCTGTCTCAGCCGCCTGAGTAGCTGAGATTACAGGTGCGTGCCACCACACCCAGCTCACTTTTTTGTATTTTTAGTAGAGATGGAGTTTCACCATGTTGGTCAGGCTGGTCTTGAACTCCTCACCTCATGATCTGCCCGCATCGTCCTCCCAAAGTGCTGGGATTACAGGCCTGAGCAGCCGTGCCCGGCCTAATTGACTTTTTCAAAGGCTGGTAGAGTGCCTGTGAGCAAGAATATTGGTGTCCTACAACGCTTAGCATTTTCCTATCAAACCTGGAAAATGTGCCACAGTAAATGTTCTAGTCAGTCAGGTAGATGGAACTGAATTGGGGAAGCATTATCAGTTTTAAAGGAAAGATTCCAAATGCCAAGCAATCTGTTGTCTTCAGGAGCAATAATCATTTTTCACTTCATGTCAATTTGACTTTTAGGTAGGAATAGACATGGGCTTGGGAGAAAGGCTTAATATTTACAGAAAAAATAGCAACAACACAGAGAAAGCCAGATAAGGTATTTTGATTGGGAACAGTTCACCCCCATTACGTGATTCACTTACCTCCTTGGAAATCTAACATGTATAAAAGCTATTATGGTAATTGGATGAAATGTGGCCAAAAGATAAAAAAAACTGAGGAGCTTGTGTTCTCAGAGGTGGGTGTGTGACAAGAATCCTTCAGGTTAGGAAATGGAGCATAACCAGTGCTCTCTGTTAAGAGTGTTTACTGTTTACAGTGTGTATGGAAAAGTTAGTTTCTGTAATTTAGAAGGAAGGTATTACTAAAGATTTTTCCAGCTGAAAGTCTGGCTGACTCATGGGTTATGTCACCTTTTGATTTAAATTTTACTTAGTGCCATCTTGGCCAAAAAGAAAAAAAAAAAGATACCTTATTGAATAGAACATTTTCATTACAGACAAAGTACACTATAATGCAGTTTTAAATCTACAAGACACTATATATCGCATTTAAATTTAGTTTTAATAGCTACTTCATAAGCAGTTTAATTCTCAAAAATGTTAATTAGCAATCTGCTTCTGTTATAGAGGCAAATGTAGTTATTCTATTTAAAAGTGATTAATAATTTGATAACGAATTATGTAAATGACTCTTTAAAGGAGCAGTGTAACTATCACCATGAGGTAAGCGCATGACAAAATTTCCAACTGGCAGTTCTGCAATTATATTATTTTTGAGATGGAGTCTCAGTCTGTTGCCCAAGCTGGAGTACAGTGGTGTGATCCCAGCTCACTGCATCCTCCACCTCCTGGGTTCAAGCGATTCTCCTGCCTCAGTTTCCTGAGTACCTGGGATGACAGGTGCGTGCCACCATGCCTGGCTAATTTTTTTATTTTTAGTAGAGATACAGCTTCACCACGTTGACCAGGCTGGTCTCAGACTCCTGACCTCAAGTGATCTGCTCACCTCGGCCTCCCAAAGTGCAGGGATTACAGGTGTGAGCCACCGCACCTGACCGATTCTGCAATTATTTGAAAACCTACTTTGCATAGACTTTGTGCCATGAAAATGAGTGGGAAGTAAATTCCTAAATTAGAGCTTTCACTCCAGGTTAAGTCAAAATCTCCTTTACTTAATGCCAGTATCTCAAACCCTGTTCCAGTGAATGAGGACCGTTTTGTTTCTTGAAGCCTTTCTCCTGTTAGGAAAGAACGCTAAGGAAATTAGGGTGGAACCATCCGAAATTCGAAGTCTTCCATTGTCTCCAAGAAAGGTCCTAATTATGCACTACTGTGGGGCCCACATCGCCCTCTGGTGGTAGTCTCAGGGCTGCCACAGCTGTGGGTTGGTCTTTAGAATCATAGCAAACTACAGAAAGGAGAGTTCACCTCCTTCGTAGTGACCAAGGTCAACAAACTCTGTAAAAGGCCAGAAAGTGAGTATCTTAGACTTTGCAGGCCACACAATCTGTCACAACAACTCAACTCAGCTTTGTAGTGTGAAGCAGCCACTGGCAATATGTAAATGAAAGTGGCTGTGGCCAAGTGTGGTGGCTCATGTCTATAATCCCAGTACCTTGGGAGGCCAAACCAGAAGGATCACTTGAGGCCAGGAGTTAAAGACCAGCCCAGGCAACATAGCAAGACCTCGTCTCTACAAAAAATGAAAAAATTAGCCAGGCGTGGTGGTATGCACCTGTAGTCCCAGCTACTCAGGACGCTGAAGCAGGAGGATCATTTTAACCCAGGAGTTTGGGGCTACAGTGAGCTGTAACTGTGCCATTGTATTCTAGCCTGGGCAACAGAGTGAAACCCTGTCCTCAAAAAAAAAAAAAGTATGACTATGTTCCAATAAAACCTTATTGAGGGACACAGGAATTTGAATTTTGTATAATTTGCATATGTCACAAAATGATGTCATTTTTTGGCTTTTTCTCCTCATTCAAGGAAATAAAAACATTCTTAGCCTGTGGGCTATACAAAAACAAGCAATGGCCGGGCACGGTGGCTCAAGCCTGTAATCCCAGCACTTTGGGAGGCCGAGACGGGCGGATCACGAGGTCAGGAGATCGAGACCAGCCTGGCTAACACGGTGAAACCCTGTCTCTACTAAAAATACAAAAAACTAGCTGGGCGAGGTGGCAGGCGCCTGTAGTCCCAGCTATTTGGGAGGCTGAGGCAGCAGAATGGCGTAAACCTGGGAGGCGGAGCTTGTAGTGAGCTGAGATCCGGCCACTGCACTCCAGCCTGGGTGACAGAGCGAGACTCTGTCTTAAAAAAAAAAAAAAAAAAACAAGCAATGGGCTGGATTTAGCCCACAGGCCATAGTCTGGTGGCCCCTGCCTGGTATAAGATATGACTGGTTTCACTGGACTCATAACTTGAAGGAAATGCCATCATGTCTAAAACAACTCTTTCTGCACTTAACATCCTAGGCACTGGCACTTATAAAGGCAGGAAAACATCTACATTTTTTTTTTTTTTTCGAGACGGAGTCTTGCACTGTCACCCAGGCTGGAGTGCAGTGGCACGATCTCGGCTCACTGCAACCTCCGCCTCCTGGGTTCAAGTGATTCTCCTGCCTCAGCCTCCCAGCAGCTGGGATTACAGGTACCCGCCACCACACCCAGCTAGTTCTTTTTGAATTTTTATTAGAGATGGGGTTTCATCATGGTGGCCAGGCTAGTCTCAAACCCTCAAATGTTTCACCCACCTCGGCCTCACAAAGTGCTGGGATTACAGGCGTGAGCCACCACGCCTGTAAATAAGATGCCCGGCCAAGGCATCTACTTTGTGGCATCTGAGTTGAGGCCAGGCTACGTGACCTTGGTTAGGATCTTATTTTTCCCATGGATTATTGGCAATATAAACACACATCTGTACGCCATGAAAGTTTTTCAAATCTGGATTAAAAACACCATCAGTAACAAAATTATGAATACTTATTTACAAATAAGACATTTTCCATTAGCATGACACATGACAGTTTTCATGATAAAGTCAGCATAGAGGAGTATGTGCAATTTTGCATAAGTAATAAAAACATTCAAACTATCAATGCCCTGATAGCATGAATAAGTTCCACCAGGCATCTCTTTTGACTTTACAGTTTTTATTTCCTTTTCTTCATATATCCTTGATGTTGCTGAGAAGAAACTGAACTTTGCACAACAGCAGAAAAGTCTATAGTTAGTCGTGGGCACAGGCTCTTTCTTTTTTCTTCTTTTGTTTGAGACGGAGTCTTGTGCTCTGTCACCCAGGCTGGAGTGCAGTGGCTCGATCTCAGCTCACTGCAACCTCACCTCTCGGGTTCAAGTGATTCTCCTCCCAAGTAGCTGGGATTACAGGCGCACGCCACCACACCCAGCTCATTTTTGTATTTTTAATAGAGACAGGGTTTCACCATGTTGGCTGGGATGGTCTCCATCTCCTGACCTTGTGATCCGCCCGCCTCGGCCTCCCAAAGTGCTGGGATTACAGGCGTGAGCCACCGCGCCCGGCCACAGGCTCTTACAGAGAGCATAGTGAGTGCTTGCACAAAACTTTGCTTTTGAAGCAATCCACTGACCTGGTGAAGATCAAAGTACAAACTTGTATGTTTATTGATTTGGCAACTCTGCTTATGGAGAAATACATGTACTAGTCACCAGTACATTTTAATATTGCTCTGCACTTAAATAACCCCCACCTGTCACTGAGCTACAGAAGTGTTGTTTCCATAAATGTTCCCAGTGATACCATGTAAGGTGATACCAGTAAAAAAAATTTCCAAATGGATCTTTTGTTCTGTTACATGGACAAATGTACCATCACTTAAGAAACAGAAATGCAGCAGCTTATCTCCACACAATAGCAAAGACTTTCTTACACAACTGTAACTTCTACTTAGTCCGTAGAAAACCAGTCCCTTTTCTAAGGGTGAAAAAATACCTCTCTTCAAGAGACAGGCAAAAATTTGAAAATCACAAGACTGTGCTCTTTATAGCCTTTCATCCCTCCTACAAATAGGTCAACGGTGAAAAAAGGATGAACTTTAATATTCTAGCTAGAAATGTGTACAAATGTCACATGTGGACTTTTGTCATCTTTTCTGATTATCGACTACTTCAATTTCACTTGAGTTGTGCTTTTATTCTTCTTTGGAATGGCAGTTCCAGAAATCATTAAATATTAACAAATGATGATGTCAGAGTTCTAGAAATAAAAATATCCATCTATTGTAGTACTAGTCCAACCTGAAGGGAGGGAAGAAATGGAATAGTAAGAAAAATTAGATCGCGATGTAGTACAACAGATCAGTCTTTCTAAAAGCTGTCATAAAGCTCAGCTCACACCTGTAATCCCAGCACTTTGGGAGGCCAAGGCAGGTGGATCACCTGAGGTCAGGAGTTGGAGACCAGCCTGGCCAACATGGTCAAACCCCATCTCTACTGAAAATGAAAAAATTAACCAGGCATGGTGGTGGACACAATCCCAGCTACTCGGGAGGCTGAGGCAGGAGAATCACCTGAACCCGGGAAGCGGAGGTTGCAGTGAGCCGAGATGACGCCATTGCACTCCAGCCTGCGGACAGAGCGAGACTCCATCTCAAAAAATAAAATAAAAAATAAATAAATAAATATAATAAAATAAAAAACAAAATAAAATAAAATAAAGCTGTCTTAAGCCTAAGTGAAGCAAGTGTGCAATTGTCTAGGTACATTTGTTGAGTTTACAAGGGCTATATCCACTTCACTTACCTTTTCAGAATCTGTACCTGGACACCTCCAATTGTACAGGTAATACTGCAAATTGCCATCTCCTATACCAAACTTGAGTTTTTCCAAGAATGTCTTATTTTCCATCAAATCCAGTGCGTTGAATACATCAAATCCTTTCTGCCAATTTAAAAAGGATTTAAAATTTAAAACAAAGGACTAGTGTTTTCTGTATTACATATCTCAGTGTAACAATTCTACTACTAATAGCTTGAATATGCATTTCTAATAGAATTTAATGTCTGTGATATATAGCATAGGTTAAGAATTCAGGGTCGGGTGCCGTGGCTCATGCCTGTAATCCCAGCATTTTGGGATGCCGAGGTGGTTGGACCACTTGAGGTCAGGAGTTCGAGGCCAGCCTGAAAAACATGGTGAAACCCCATCTCTACTAAAAATAACAAAAATTAGCCAAGTGTGGTGGTGCGTGCCTGCAGTCCCAGCTACTCAGGAGGCTGAGGCAGGAGAATTGCTTGAGCCTGGGAGGTGGAGGTTGCAGTGAGCCGAGATCATGCCACTGCACTTCAGCCTGAGTGACAGAATGAGACTCTGTCCTTTTTTTTTTTTTAAAAAGGAAGAATTCAGTTTAAAATTGTCTTATAAAATTAGCAGTGTGGCTGGATGTGGTGGCTCACACCTGTAATCCCAGCACTTTGGGAGGCTGAGGTGGGAGGATCAATGGAGCCCAGGAATTTGAAACCAGCCTGGGCTGCAGGTGTAGGTATAGGTACAGGACATTGTCTCTACAAAAATAAAAAGATTGACTGGGCATGGTGGTGTGCGCCTGTGGACCCAGTTATGCAGGAGGCTGAGGCAGGATTGCATAAGCCCAGGAGGTCAAGGTTGCAGTGAGCTGTGATTGTACCAGTGCACTAAGCCTGAGCGACAGAGAGCCTCTCTCAAAAAACAAACAAAAAACTATAGTGAATCCGAAGAAGTCAGCACGAAAATTCAGAAATGCTGAATCCCAAAAATGTTAAAAATGTAGTATGATGGCTGTCACTGGCATAAAATTACTTACGAAGATTTCAGAAAATATTTTATTCACGTTTAATTTACTTATTTATTTTTAATTTTTTTGAGACAGAGTCTCACTCTGTCACCCAGGCTGTAGTGCAGTGGCATGATCTCGGCTCACTGCAACCTCCACCTCCCAGATTTAAGCAATTCTCCTGCGTTAGACTTCCTAGTAGCTGGCATTACAGGCGTACACCCCCATGCCCAGTTAATTTTTTTGTATTTTTAGTAGAGACGGGGTGTCACCATGTTGGCCAGGCTGGTCTTGAACTCCAGACCTCAAGTGATCCACCCTCCTTGGCCTTCCAAAGTGCTGGGATTACAGGTGTGAGCCACTGCGCCCGGCCTTGTTCCTGTTTTAGAAGGGAATAGTTGTCAAGATGGTTTCATCTCCAGGATTATTAATTATTAGCCTTTGTAAGTCCTACCTTGGCTGAAGCTATTGCCCAGGGACCAAAGTTGTAAAGACTTTAAATAGTATGCAGGCGAGGCGTGGTGGCTCATGCCTGTAATCCCAGCACTCTGGGAGGCCGTGGCAGGTGGATCACCTGAGGTCAGGAGTTCGAGACCCTCCTGGTCAATATGGTGAAACCCTGTCTCTACTAAAAATACAAAAATTAGCCATGCGTGGTAGCACGCGCCTATAGTCCCAGCTACTCGGGAGGCTGAGACAGGAGAATCGCTTGAACATGGGAGGCGGAGGTTGCAGTGAGCCAAGACTGTGCCACTGCACTCCAGCCTGGGTAACACAGCAAGACTCCATCTCAAAAAAAAAAAAACAAAAAACCACAAATAGTATGTTTGCTTTGGGCTGATACTGGGAAATACGTTTAAGTAAAATTTTAATGGTAAAACATTAAATGTCTTTAAAATGTCAGACAACAATACTATGCAAAATGTGATATAGAAGAAGCACTTTTTATTTTTCTTTCTCAGGGTTTTTACCTTAAATAACTAATTACTGGCCATATTTTGGAAGTGTTGAAAAAAAGCTGACAATCTGAGGATGATGTTGACTTGGGGATTCAAAGGCACAGGTAAGAGATTTTTATTTTATTTTAATTAATTAATTAATTTGAGACAAGATCTCACTCTGTTGCCCAGGCTGGAATGCAATGGTGCGATCTCGGCTCACTGCAACCTCCACTCCCAGGTTCAAGTAATTCTCCTGCCTCAGCCTCCCAAGTAGCTGGGATTACAGGTGTGTGCTATCACACCCAGCTAATTTTTGTATTTTTAGTAGAGACAGGGTTTCATCATGTAGCCTGGCTACAATTAAATGTTGAATTTAATTCCTTTAATTTTAAAATTCAGAGACTATTTGGTTGAATAAAAAAATCGCTGCTAGTTATTCACTCAACACAAATATTCACTCATGTATTAATATTTTCTTTATATTATGGAATCATATCTTTTTCTTATATTCATTATATTACTTCCTAATAGATGGGCTTTATACATCCTTTTTTTTTGAGACAGTTTCTGTCACCCAGGCTGGAGTGCAGTGGTGCAATCTCAGCTCACTGCAACCTCTGCCTCCCAGGTTCAAGCAATTCTCCTGCCTCAGCCT